AGCATTCAGGCTACCAAGGGGTCTGGATTTGGGATCAGAACACACTTGCTTGTGAGTCCCAGCCGGACATATTATGGCTCTATAACCTGAGAAGCTACTTGTTTTTACTCTGTCTTTACGTCCTTACTTATAAAATGGAGAAAAATATTAACCTAATGCTTATTTTGGTGATGCTGGACTCAGAAAATCGATCTAAATATTCCTAAATTTAGGAATTACTAAACCGGAGTTGATACAGACTGATTCTCCTCCCTTTTAGTCCTTTGTACTTTGTTCTTTCTTCCCCTCCTTCTTCCCTCATCTCCCCTCTCCCTTCATCACTCCCATTTCTCCTCTAACTCCCCCCATCTCGCTCGGGTGCCCAGTCCCTCCAGTATCCCGTGTTCCTCCCGACTCTGCTCCTGCGGGTCTGCTCCAAGGAGAGGCAGGCGGGTTGCCCCAAGACAGGCCGAGAGCGGCAGGGACCTCCCGGCTGGAGCTCTCGGTGTGAGCCACTGGATGAGAATCCACACGAGGAAGGGACGCTTCCCCGCTGCACGTCGTTGCCCCTGGCGCGACTGGATGGCTGCGGGACAGAGGGCAGCACGTGTGTTTTAGGTAAGGCCACCCGAGGTCAGACGGGCCCCTTATTGCCCTTTCCGGGCCTCTGAAAGGCCACATGTGAACTGAAGAAACGAAAACATTCGGGCATTAAAACTGTGGAGTTTTCCCCAGTCAACACTTTCTCTTCCCAGTCTTCTCAGGGTGGAAGTTGGTCAGATTAAATCACCAGGAGATCGGCACCTCTTAAAAGAAACAGAAGTAGGAAGAGCTGTGAAGTGTCAAGGGCAGAGAAGGCGGTCACTTGTAGTCCAGCCGGGCCACAGGTAGTAGTTGGATTTTTGGCTTGCGGTGTTGATGAGCTGACGGATTCCTTCCTCCCGGGAGGAGAAAGGCCCAGGTCACAGAAGCTCTGGGACAGCTGGTCCCATGGCAGAGAAGTTGCTTAGCTCTTGTGGGTGCTGATGGCATCCCAGACACCCACGGCTGTGTGTGGACCCAGGATGCCTCTCTGGAGCACAAAGGTGGGGGTGATGGGCACTGGCGCCCCCTGGGGAGAGCACAGTCTTCTGCACATGCTGTCCCCTTTGCCTCACCAAACACTAGAGCTACCCCGTGCAGCAGACTAGGGTGGGAACGTGGGCAGCGGGGGCAAGGCCTCCAGGGGGATGTCGTTTCAGGACCCACTGCCTTTGCCAAGGCTCTGGATTAGGGCCACAGCCAGCCTAGGTCTGAGGGGTCCTCAAGGATAAGGCAATAGTACACAGAGACATGGACAGAATTGTAGCAGCAGGGGGGCCTGGGCGCTCAGCAGGTTGAGCGTTTGATTCGATTTTTGGCTCAGGTCATGATCTCTCATGAGACTGAGCCCCGCAGCAGGCTCCCCGCTCCGCGGAAAGTCTGCCCGAGAGTCTCTCCCTCTGCCCCTCCTCCCACCCGTGCCCTCTGTCTCTTTAAAGTAAATTAACCTTTTTTTTGAAAAATGTGACAGCAACAACAACAGCAAAATACGGCAAAATCATCACTCTCCTCAAATTCCTAGTACATGTGGTTAACGGATTTAAAGAAGTCAAAGGAGACTAAAAAACAGACCAAAAATTACATTTGAAGTCAAATAACTTCATATTTGTACATTGTACTCTCCTGTATGTACACTGAAGGAGAGCTGCTTCTCCCACCGCATCTGTCCTCCGGCGGGGAGGACGACACAAGACGGTGAATGAAAAGACGCGGTTTGCAATACAGCAGGACGGCACTCCGGACACGCGGGTCCACAACAGCCGTCTGCGTCTCTGCCTGGCAGGGCAGAGAAGGAGAGCCCTGCGTCCTGCGAGGGCGGCCCCTGTGCACCTGGGAAGAGGGACTGAACCCGAACAATCTTCCAGGTAGCATTAAGCAGAGGCCTGAATCTCTAAGTCGGCGTTCAGGTAAACAGGGAAGTAGTTTTGCTCTGGAACCAGGATGAAGGCACGTATGGAAGCCATACGGAGATTTGTTTCCTTTTTGATCAAGGAAATTGAGAATGAAGGAACGCTTTGGCCAGCATGGGGACAGACAGAAGGGTTCGGAAGAAACCGGAAAGCAGCCGGAGAGAACAGAGTCCTTGTCTCTGAATGGAAGCTTACTGTGTGTTTCCGAGAGCAGCCCTGCAGAGGGCCACCAACTGAGTGGCTGAGAACGGGGCAACGTATTGTCTCAGAGTCCTGGCAGCCAAAAGTCTGAGACCAAGCTGTCACCTTGGCCCTGCTCCCTCTGCAACCTGGACGGAAGGACACTTCCTTGCCTCTCCCCCATGTCTGGTGGCCCCAGACCATCTTTAGCTCGTGGCAGCGTAACTTCAGTCCCTGTCCCCGTCTTCACGGGACAGCCTCACTCGACACCCTTCTTACAAAGAGGCTACTCTAGGATGACCTCATCTTAACTACCCACAGTGGCAGCAAGACTCTTTTCAAATAAGGTCACGTTCCAAGGTACAGAGGGTTAGTTAGGACTTCAGTACACCTCGTGGGGGGAACATAATTCAGCCCGTACCATCCTAGAACCTGGTGCGGATCAATGCTTCCCTTTGGACTCCTGCCTACGCCCTTTTAAAAACTGCTTCATCCTGACTGGGCCACAGAAACGGTGACTGAGACAAACTGATCTGAGTCTCACCCTCTTCTGCCCTAGGCTCCTCAAGAAAGGCAGCCGGCCTGAGCTTGGGTCCGATTCAAGTCCTGGTCAGGCTGTTTAGGATCTGATCTGTGACTCAGGTCTCAGCAGTCACCTCGGAAGTCTCGTTTGATAAAACTGTGTTCCATCATTTTGAATTTTGAATAATAGGTCATTAATATGTCAAGAAATCTTTCAGGAAGTCTCCCAAAGTATTGGCTCAGATTTTTCCTAAAATGTCTAGAATTGACAGCTCAGTGGGTGGAGGTGGGGTGATGGGGCCAGTCAGTCCGCCAGAAACATGACATTTTCATGGAGGGAGGGGACACAGTGTCACATCCAGAGTGCTCCCTGGGAGGATTTCAAATGAATGGTGTAAGAATTAGGGAGGAACCAAAGCATTTTTAACATGAGGGCCATCAACGAAGTTGATCTTTAGAAAACCATACAACATAGGGGCTCAGTCAGGGAAGTGGCTGCATCCTGCTCAGGTCGTGGGATTGAGCCCCAGGCCTGTGGCTCCCTGCTCAGCGGGGAGTCTGCTTCTCCCTCCTCGTCTGTGCTTCCCTCGTGCTCTCTCTCTCTCCCTAATAAATAAATGAAATCTTTAAAACAAGTCATGCAACAGAGGCAGACTGTGGGGAAGGAAGGAGACAAGCGAAAGGGCCTAAAGCAAGATTCCTGGGAGCAGGTCAGGGAAGTGGGCTCTGGAGGACAGAAGGGGACAGCAGCGCAGAGATAGCCTCCAGCTAACCAGAGACACGTTCCTGCTGCCCGGAGCAGACTCCAAACCTTCCCGTCTCGCCTCTGGAGGCCAGCACCCACGGTGCCCAGAAGTTTGTCAGAAATGTTGGAGCAGGACTGGAGAGTTGGAGTTTCAGCCATCGGACCTAGTGATGACCTCTGTCCTGAGGCGTGTCCCAGTGACTGCAAGATGAGCAAACGAGCCCATATTTGTGCAGACTTGACCCAACCGGAGAAGAGCAAGGGGTGGTAGGGGGGGAATCCAGGGCTGGCTTTCATTTGTCCGGGTTCAAAGCGAACGGTGGGAGTGGTTGCTGACCTGTGCCCTGTGCTGGGCTGAGTCCTTCAGAGTCATGATCAGGGCTCAGCAGCCCCAGCAGGCCGACTGTAGGACTCCCCTGACGGTGCAGATGGGAACAGTGGGGCCCAGAGCTGGGAAGTCGTGCTGAGACCAGGAGCCAGCCCGCGGCGCACCCGGTCTCTCTGTCGCCTCACAGTGTGAGCTTCAGCCCTTTCTGTGAACGGACACCGGGGAGAGGCCGCAGAGGCCCGCAGCGCGCCCAGGTCGTGCAGAGCAGGGCGCCCTGGGGACCCGCGAGGCTGGATCGGCGCCAGCGACCAGGCCGGTTCGCACGCCTTTGAGAAGAGCTCGGAAATCTGAGCCGGCACAAAGCTCGTCTTCCCAGGCGTTCCCAGGAGTTGAGCCCGAGGCGCCTTCAGTTCCGGGAGCGGAGCGGGCGGTGGGTGTGACCCTGGCCCGGCCGGGCTGGGAAGGGCTTAGCGCTGAGGAGGAAGGAAGGGGTTGTTCCCCCGGGTCACAGGAGACTTTGGCAAAGCGGAGCGGCCGTGAGAACCGTGGGACAGCTTTCCGCCGGCTCGCAAGAGGGCCTCACCACTGCGGGGAGGGGGTGGGGGACGGAGAAGATGCCGCGGAGGCAGCCCGGGGCGGTCCGGACTCGCAGGTCAGGGCTCTGGCCCCGCCGCTGCCCAGGGCGCCGGTGCCCGCGACGGGGCCGCCTGCGCGACAAGCCGCTGGCCAGGGGAGGGGCGGCCGGGCGGGCGTCTGACACGGTGCGGCCCCGCGGCCCGGCTTCATCGCTAGGACAGTGTGCTGCGACAGGCCGGAGGATGACTGTCACCCGCGACCACGAGTCTCAGACTTTACTGTGCATGTGCATCACGTGACGGTCTCGTTTTTAAAAAAGCAGATTCTGATTCCGCGGACAGCGACCCCAGGAGGCCCTCGGCCCTCGGGGAGGGCGGACACAGCAATCCCGGTTCCAAGGACAGAGGCCTCCTCCGGCCCGGGCGGACACGTGCGCCGCCACAACAGGCGCAGGGCTGGCCGAGGGGCCTCGAGGGCGGGGGAGGTGGGCAGGACGGAATCGAGGGGAGGGACAGTGGGGGGAGGGCAGGGGCCTGCGCGCGCGTGTGTGTGTGTGTGTGTGTGTGTGCGTGCTGCTCTGCGATTGGAGGGAGGGTCTTGGCTCCGAGCCCCACCGGGGCTCAAAAGGGACCGAGGTGGCCCGGGGACCGCAGACCGCCCGGCCCTGCGCGCGCGAGCCATGCTCCCTCAGCTCTGGGCTGCGGGGCTTTTCCCGCTATTCCTGGTCGGCCTCGCCCAGCCGACCCAGAAGATGAAGGTGAGTGTCCCGTTGGGGACCCAGCAGACTGCAGCCCCTGTCGACTGGCCTGGTGTCCAGGGGTGCGAGGAGTCCTCCCTCGTCCTCTCCGAGGCTGGGACCCGCTTCCCGAGCTCGGCTGACCCCGGCAGCCGCTCTCCGAGGCTGGGGCTCCGCGAAGCCGACTCCCTCCGCAGACCGTGTCGGTCACCGGGCGCTCGTGGAGCAGGTGGACGGAGGGCCAAGGCTGCTGTCCTGCCTGCCCCTCCGCCGCCACCCCTGCTCTGACCTCCGGGTAGCCTTGTGGGTCCGGGAAACGGGACACGTAGGAGCACGGGGTGGGAGGGAGGGTGGCTGCCCGCGTTCCCCAGAGCAGCTCAGACCCGGGCAGGGGAAGAGCCGCTGGCTGATGCCGGAGTGTGCTCTGGGGGTGTCAGGGTCAGCGAAGAGTGGCTTTTCTCCCGGTGACAATAAAACACAGAAGGCCAGGGTAGCTGTTGGCCAATTTTAATGTTAGAGGAGGTGGGGTGGTGAGCGGCAGCTAGTGGGGGAGGACAAAGTGTGGACCAGAGTAAGAGGATTTGCTCTTGGGTCTTGGTGGAGCCCTGATCTCCTGATGCCCTTGCAAAAAAAAATCTCTGCACTGGAGGTCAGTCAGTAGCTGCCCTGTCAGAGGTGTGTGATATGCCTCAGGACGCGGGGTCGGGATTCAAGTGGGTGACGTGGTACCAGCAGGGTTTTTTTGTTTTTTTTTTGAGATTTTATTTATTTGACACAGAGAGTGAGAGAGAGATCACAAGTAGGCAGAACAGCAGGCAGAGAGAGAGGGGGGAAATGGCCACCCCGCTGAGCAGAGATCCCAATGTGAAGCTCTATTCCAGGACCACGATCCCAGAACCCCAGACCATGACCCAAGCCAAAGGCAGAGGACCGACCCATTGAGCCACACAGGTGCCCAGGTTTTAACTTTAAAACCAGTTGAATTAATTCAGTAGCTCAGTCTCACTTGTGGATTTAAACCAATTACATTTCTCTCTCTCTCTCTCTCTCTCTTTTTTTTGAAGATTCTATTCATTTACTCAACAGACAGAGATCACAAGCAGGCAGAGAGGCAGGCAGAGAGGGGGAAGCAGGCTCCCCGCTGAGCAGAGAGCCCGATCCCCCAGAACCCTGGGATCATGACCTGAGCTGAAGGCAGAGGCTTTAACCCACTGAGCCACCCAGGCACCCCAAAACCAATTACATTTCTCTTACTGGCTCCCCCACCCCCAGAAGAAAGAGAATACCTGTGATTGAGGGCAGTGATCCCCAGACAAGATTCATTGACTTGTCAAAGCACAAGGTGCTGGGTCCCACCTGATGTGGGCGGCTGAGCAAAGAGTCAAGAAAGCGTTCTTGAGACATTTTCAGTGCAGGAAAGTGCTTTATTATAGCACAGGAACAGGACCCGTGGGCCGAAAGAGCTGCACGGAGGTTGTGAGGAGTGACTGGTTTTAAGCTTTCTAGTTAGTAGGGATTAGGGATAGCATAAATGTCTAAGGAATTTGGAAGCAAGACTTCCAGGACCTGGGGCTAGCTGCTGTTAGGATAAAGTTATTGACTACTGCCTAATGAAACATTAGTCATGAGACCCTTAAGATGGCTATCGGTGGGCCATGTGCTTGGAGGATGGCTGGTTTTATGGTTACCAAAGTGAAGTGGCATTAACCAGAGCAAAGCTATAGTGGTAAAATGTTAAGGAAATCCTCGAGGGAGCCGTACAGGTGTTACGGTCTGTGTGCCTCAGGAACCCTGCCTGGAGACTACCAGCTGATCTGAAGCAAAGTCCGGCCTTCGCTCCTTTTCTCCAACCGCCACCCCAAAGTTTCTGATTCAGCAGGCCTCAGGAGAACCAGGAACTTGCATTTCTTTTCTTTTCTTTTTTTTTAAACTCAAGTTTGTTAACATATTGTGAAGTATTGGTTCCAGGAGTGAAATTTAGTGATTCATCACCTACACAGAACACCCAGTGCTCATCACAGCAGGTGCCCTCCTTAGTGCCCGTCCCCCATCTAGCCCATGCCCCACCCGCTGCCCCTCCAGCAATCCGCAATTTGTTCACTTAACTATAGAGTCTTCCCGTTTCCCTCCTCTCTGTTTTTATCTTATCTTTTCCTTCCCTTCCTCTATGTTCATCTGTTTTGTTTCTTAAATTCCACACATGAGTGAAATCACATTTTTATCTTTCTTTGACTGACTTATTTTGCTTAGCATAATCTCTAGTTCTATCCACATTGTTGCAAATGGCAAGACTTCATTCTTTCTGACGACTGAGTGATATCCCAGCACCCTGGGATCAAGACCTGAGCCTAAGGCAAATCCTTAATGATGAGCCACCCAGGTGCCCCTATACCACATCTTCTTTATCCACTCATCTGTCGATGGATATCTGGGCTCTCCTCATAGTTGGACTATTGTTGATAATGCTGCTATAAACATTGGGATGCATGTACCCCTCTGAATCTGTATATTTGTGGGGTAAATACCCAGTAATACAATCGCTGGGTCATAGGGTAGCTCCATTTTTAACATCTTGAGGAACCACACTTTTCCAGAGTGGCTGCACCAGCTTGCATTCCCACTAACAGTGTAGGAGGCTCCCCTTTCTCCACATCCTCGCCAGCATCTGTCATTTCCTGACTTGTTAATTTTAGCCGTTCTGACTGGTGTGAGGTGGGATCTCACTGTGGTTTTGATTTGTATTTCCCTGATGCCGAGTGATGTGGAGCATCTTGTCACGTGTCTGTTGGCCATCTGGATGTCTTCTTTGGAGAGGTGTCTCAGGCACTTGCATTTCTAATATGTCCCGGTCTTGTTCAGGTCCTCAAACCACTCTGAGTGCTCTGTTATCGGGTCCCTGTGACATGTAAGATGATGTACATAAGATGCTCAAAGACCAGCATTCGTAAGACCATCTCCCCTCTCTGAAATTTAAAAAAGGCAACCTATGAGGGGGCATCCGGGCCCACGTCAGCCACTACTGCCTGCTTGGGGCGCAATTCTAGCTGTAGAAAGCCATCTTGTGAATAAAAGGCTGCATTTTTGAGTATCAGGTCCCTTCAGACTGGAGCAGAACTAACGTCAGAGTTGGAAAGTTTCAGCCCTTCCAGTCCACGGTTTTCTTGGGATTCTACATCCCAGCTCATAGGACGATACCTATGTAAGAGACAGAAGCTGGGAGCATCACAAAGTGCTTGTCCCCATGCCACACACACACACACACACAGACACAGGCTTTTTTTTTTTTAAGATTTTTTTTTTAAGATTTTTTTTATTTATTTGACAGACAGAGGTCACAAGGAGGCAGAGAGGCAGGCAGAGAGAGGGGGGGAAGCAGGCTCCCTGTGGAGCAGAGAGCCCGATGTGGGGCTCCATCCCAGGACTCTGGGATCATGACCTGAGCTGAAGGCAGAGGCTTAACCCACTGAGCCACCCAGGCGCCCCAAGATATTATATTTTGAGTAATCTCTATACCCAACCTAGGGCTCGAACTCACAACCCCAAGATCAAGAGTCACATGCTCACTGAATGAGCCAGCCAAGCGACTCCCACACAGAAAGGATTTTAACTTACAAGACACACATTCTGGTGGTGGTCTCGCCATAACTAAGAATACTACCAGACAGAGGTCTCTTTGGTTCTTAGAATCTCGAGGTGTTCCATGAAAGAGCTCTGAGCGCTCTGCAGAAGTCCACGGCTGTTAAGGGTTATTATTTGCCTTATTGTCACAGCATCGCGGTTTTTGTTCCATTCCAGCTGGATTGCTACAAGGGGGTGACGGGCACCATCTACGAGTACGGAGCCCTCACCCTCAATGACGAGGAGTACGTGCAGTTCCAGCGCTATGTGGGCAAGCATGTCCTCTTTGTCAACGTGGCCACGTACTGAGGCCTGACGGCTCAGTATCCTGGTAAGAGCTCCGGTTTCGATCCCTCCGGAATGAGCTTGGTCAGATGCCCATATTCTAATTCCAGAGGTTTTCCTAATTTGTTGTTGGGAGGAGGGGGGTGAGGAAGGAATAGGTGATCAGGGGAGTCCGTCCCTCTAAATCCTGCCACTGCTCTACTCCTTAGGAGGCCAGGAGAATTATCTCCAGATTGGAGGAATGAGATTCTCCTGAAGTTTTCATCAAAAACCACCAGGAATGTACCTATCACTGAACAAGTGGGGTTTGCTGCTTGATGCCATGAGGGAGAACATATATTGTAGGGAACCATGGGGCTTCTCAATAAGAAAGTGCTGGAAAGAACTTATTTGAGAATCTGGGCTTGTATTCGGTGCTTTGGGGAAAGATTCAAGGAATTGAAGCTTTGCTCTGAACTGGATGCTGTCCGGAAATGAGGGAGTGGGGAGAATTCTGTGACTGTGACTCAGATATGTCTTAATAAATCTTATCTACGGGGTCAGGGGAATAAAGCAAGGCCAAGGTCTTGATTTATCATGACCACTGTGACCATGATGTTGTGTGATATTGATGTTCTGTGAAATTGTTGTTGTTTTAAAGACTTTATTTATTTATTTGACAGAGAGAGAGAGAGATCACAGGTAGGCAGAGAGGCCGGCAGAGGGGGAGGCGGAAGCAGGCTTCCTTCTGAGCAGAGGCTCAATCCAGGACCCTGGGATCATGACCTGAGCTGAAGGCAGAGGCTTAACACTGAGCCACCAGGGCGCCCCTGTGAAATTGTTTAACAGGAGAATAGGAAACCCTAGCTATGACCCCAGGCCAGAGTTTAGCTTTCAAGGGGCCACTTTTATCCTTATTGGTGACTTCTGGGAACGACAGCAGAGAGGATCTTCTGGAAAGTGCTCTTGGGTTCTTCATCAGCTCCAAGAGGGAAATATAGCTTTCTCGCAGGTAATCTTTGGTGCGACAGCTCTTTGGAAAGACGCTCCATCTCTCCACACCTGGCCCGACCTCCTACGGTGACTGAGATGGATTTTCTTTGTGCTCACGGGGAAGAGTTTGATTTCCCTGTTGATCCAGAAAAGGTTATTTGGAGTTTCAGATGGATTGTAATAGAGATAAATGCAGTTTCTGACATGCCATAACTTGGTTTTTCTGCTTTTCAAAAAAATTTTTTTAAGATTAATTGCAATAATTAATATGTGAACATATGCATATGCATATGCAAAATAATATATGAACAGTTTCTAAGAAAAATTTTCCACATGTTGACACTGGTATCTATTCAAATGATCAAAAATATAAAGTCCCATCAATTTGTCTTTTCTTTCTCTCCTTTTTTTTTTCCCATCAATTTGTCTTAATGGGACTTCAATAACAATATATTGAAGAATTTTCTCTTTTTTAACACCACTTAAATTTAAGTGTATTGTAATTTCACCTTTAAGATACACAGCTCACTAAATTTTGATATTTTAAAATTAAAATTCAGGGGCACTTGGCTGGCTCAGTTGGTTAAGCGTCTGACTCCTGATTTTGTCTCAGGCTGTGATCTCAGAGTCGTGAGACTAAGCCAGCATGGAGCCTGCTTAAGATTCTCTCTCTCCCTCCCTCTGCCCTTCCCCACCCTGCTCACACTGTTTCTCTAAAAGGAAGAAAAAGAAAAAGAAGAACAGTCAGCAGGTGTCCCCCTGAAATTCATATGTTGAAATCCCAGTGCCCAATACGATGGCAACAGGGCCTTCAGGAGTTGTTGAGGTCATGACGGTGAACCTCCATGAATGGGATTAGTGCTTTTATAAGAAGAAACAGCATAGAACTCCCACACCCCGAGCCCTTGTGCCATGGGAGGACACAGTGAGAAGCCTGCAGTCTGCAACCTGGTAGAGGGCCTTTGCTAGAACCCCACCACATTAGCACCATGACTTTGGACTTCCAGAACTCTGAGAAATAAGTTCTTATTGTTCACAAGCCCCCTGGTCTATGGTATTTGGTAAAGCATCCTAAAAGGACTAATACAGAAGGAGCTGCTTGACTTAGGCAAAAATTGTATTGAAATAGCCCCTCCTTCAAAGAACAACAAAAACCAAATGGTTCACATTCACCAAGGAACCTAAAGACTTTTTAATGATGAAATTTTGCATAAAAAGATACTTTCAAAAGTGCAGATTACAGGAAGATTTGACATTTGAAAGAATTTTGGACTCACTTTATAGTTATTTTTATGTATAATCAACCCTAGGGAGAACTTGAAAAGCTACAGACTAAATCTTTAATTTGTGTAAAATCTCAGAATCTAAGGCTAGTATCATTTAGCAACAGTTTAGTATCATTTAGCAAGTAGGGGTTTTCCTCCCTTCAAAAAGTTAAATTTGAGAAAAAATATAGTAAGTTTAAAAAGTCATGATATATAAACAGCAGTTCCATGGAATGTGAATCTGCTTTTAAATCTGTTTCAATTTAGTTTTAATTTAAATTTGTGTTGAATAGGGAATATATTCACATTGAAAATTTAAAAGATGCAAAAGGGTTTAGGAGAGAAAGCTTCTAGGGGGCCCCTGGGTGGGTGGCTTGGTTGGCTGAGTGTCTGATTCTTCCTTTCAGCTGAAGTCTCGATCTCAGGGTTGTGAGTTCAAGCCCTGTGTCTGGCTCCATGTTGGGGGGGGGAGAAAGAGTGAGAATATCCACCATTTTTCTTTTTGAGTAACCAAGGTTATCAGTTTATGGTGTATATTGTCATAAATCTTTAATGTATAGACAAGCAAATCTCTCTCATATACGCAGACACACACAACTGATTCCACACCTTGTTTTTTCACATGATACAGATGTTCTTCTGTATCAACACGCAATGAGCTTCCTCATGTATTTGAAGCCACAGTTTTCCACTCTGTTGCCATGACATGACTTACTAACCATGAGAATTTTACTAAATACCTGAAATTTTAAAAAAGTGTCTCATTCAGATTTTACTCCAGACAGGGAAAAGGCGAGAGTTGAAGGCCTTTGCCCGAGGCCGAGCAGCAGGGTCTGCTGCAGTTTCTGCCATAGGAAGGATGTATGATTGATGGTGAAAGGCGGCGAGTAGGGATTGTTATGAAGAAACCTACAAGGACAGGAAGGCACTGCCATTGAAGCCCAGCGTTTTCGGGGAGACAGCAGCACGTGGAGCTGAGTTGGGTGGGGCGGCACTGGGACTGACTCAGTGGGGACGAGAGTGGCTGAAGGTGGAAAGACTGGTGCGGGTCTACACAGACACGTTGGAAGCGCTCCCAGCAGTCTTGAAGAGCGGTTTGGAGTTTGTAGCCTGGAATCCCAGTGAGTGTCCCAGGGCAGTGACACCCATTAGGTCATTAGAGTTGACAAGAGTGTAGAGCATGTTCTGGAGCTGGGCTCAGATTTGAGTTCCCTCCACAGCTCCCAGGTGAGAGTGCCAAAGGGGGCTCTTGGAAGCACGACTGGGGTGTCAGGTGTGTCCCTGTGGGGCATGATGGGGGCAGAGGGAGCAGGTCCATTTTGTTTGCCTTTTCCTTCAAAACGTTTGGTCAGTCAGTCAATCCGCCACTATGGAAGCTGGCCGTGGCATTTAAATTTTAATTCCCTTCAGCATCCAGCAGGTGCCCCCGCCGCCCCACGGGCTAACCCATCTGTGTTCTCTGCCCCCCCACCCCGGAGGGTGCCGTGCAGCCGCGTAGGGAACCAACACAAGAAAGATGGTGGCCGTTTGGGTGTGTTTCTGTCAACCTGTGTTCTAGCTTTGTGCCCCGCCTCCCCAGTCTCTATAATCTCGAACCTTCCCCCTACACTTGTCACTGTACTTGGACACATCCCAGCGTCCTCCGGGGCTCCCTGCCGGGCTGCCCATGCTGCTCGTTGTCTCCCCGCAGAACTGAATGCACTACAGGAGGAGCTGAAGCCTTTTGGTGTCGTCGTGCTGGGCTTTCCCTGCAACCAGTTTGGAAAACAAGAACCAGGAAAGAACTCAGAGATCCTTTCTGGGCTCAAGTGAGTGCCGGCTCGGGTCCCTGCCTAGGCCCTGTCAGCCTTTCCCTTCCTCCTGCTGCCTGGAGGCCTCCTCCTCTGGAAGCTTCTGGGGCGGGTGGTGGATCACGGGGTTCAGGAACATCATTGTGAAGCTTCGCGTGCAAGCTTGCGTGGCTGGCAATGCCCAACCTTTCACTCGCCTCGGGCTCTTGACATGGACACTAGGGGAATATCTATGGGAAAAGCAGCGCAGGGCAGAGGAGGGAATGTGGGAAATAGAAATGAGTCGGGAATCCTGACCTTCAAACACTCCCTTCCAGTTTCCTTAGAATTGTCTACTGGCTCCATAAAGCATGAAGTCCTGACCCCCAGACATCTCTCTTTCCTCACCTTCCCTGTCCACTGTCTCTTCCTCTTTATCTCTGACTTCTTTTCGTGGACTTGTGGCCGCTACCGTCCCTCCTTATCCTAACTTGGACCCTCTTGGGAACACTCTGCTTCATTGCAGGTATGTGCGTCCCGGTGGTGGTTTTGTTCCCAATTTTCAGCTCTTTGAGAAAGGGGATGTGAATGGAGAAAAAGAACAGAAGGTCTTTACCTTCCTGAAGGTGAGTGACCACCCACCTGCGTGAACTGGTCAGATAGGCAGAGATACCCCGAAAGCATGGGGCTCATTTCTAGGATTGAGGTTGGACTCCTTGGAAAGAAATGCTCAGATAAGTTCAGGAGTCATGGCCAGATCCATTGTGAGCCCTGAGCTCAAGTACAGGAAACGGAACAAGGCAGCTCTGACGTGGCCGACGCCCCCTCCCAAACGGCAATGATTTGCTCATGTGACCCACAGTCATGGCATCCGTCCCAGGTGTGAGCAGCTGTGCCACACAGGGAGCCCGAACCTACTAACAGGGCCCAGCCCCTCCCTGGTGGACCCCTGTGCAGTCGGGGAGACAGACATGGAGCACAGACTGGAGGGTCCCATGTGCTAACTGACCGGGAAGCCGCTGAGTGTTAGAACCACGAAGACCACAGAACCATCTGATGTTCTCTTAGGCCACTGGTTTCCCTCTGCTGGCCTGCCAGACAGGTCTGTTAGAATTCTAACCATTCATGGCAACCTGGAAAAAAAACACATTGTGGGGAGTTTTCCACAAAGCCTAATTTATTGAATATAAAAGGCCATCATTTATTCTGATACTAAATTAATGTTGAGTTAAATCATACAAATTACCAAAAATGGTGATATGACTGATTTTATTTTCTTCAACCTAATCCTTAAAAATCTGTTAATTTTTAAATTTAGTTGTAGTTGACTTTTGATTTTTAGTTATTCTATATAGTTATTCTATTCTATTCTAAATATTCTATTTAGTTATTCTATATAACTAAATGTTAATAAAATGTTAGTTATTCTATACTAATCTCCAAGAAACAGTTATTGAACTTTTACCAGACTGTGAGGCCCCAGCTCTGAAAACCACTACTCTAAACCAAAGCATTTTTTTCCAGCTAAGAAAACTGAAGCTCTAGAAATGATATGACTTATCAAAGAAGACAGAAAATAGTATTTTTCTGCAGCACCATGATGTAATCCTGGGAGGGGCAGACAGGGAAAGGAGGAGTATTTTCTGTTTACTGTCACACTCTCTAGCCCGCGCAGCCGGTTGCCAGCTGCTGGGTGGGCGATGTTGCACTAAGTGTCTGTGCTTCCTGGGAGCACGTCAGGTAGTTAATATATGGAGATGCAGGATGGTGAGTAGACTCTCCAGGGTTGGGGATAAACCTGGGCCACGCAGAAGCAGGGGGAAAACCCTTCTATATTTCCTATCTCTGCTCCAGAACTCCTGCCCTCCAACCTCTGATCTTCTGGGTTCATCAAACCAGCTCTTCTGGGAGCCCATGAAGGTCCACGACATCCGCTGGAACTTTGAGAAGTTCCTGGTGGGGCCTGACGGAGTCCCTGTCATGCGCTGGTCCCACAAGGCTCCCGTCAGCACGGTCAAGGCAGACATCCTGGAGTACCTGGAACAGTTCCAAAGCGAGTAGAAAGGGCCAGAGACCGTCGGAAGCGGCCGCCTGCCTCCCACCCGAAGGATGTGCTCAACACTGGGTCCATCTTTGCTCTACGTCCCTTCCCGCCCAGCGCCCTATGACCAGACTCTCCCCGAAGCATGGCGTGCGCCGGCACTTGTGCGCTCACGAGTGTGTTCGAAAACAAGGGAAAGAATACCTTTGTCCCCAAATCTCTGCTCCGGAAATACCAAGTTCTCACCGCTCCACCCCAAAGGAAAAGCATATGCCAGGGTAGATGGTCCAGACTACCCAGTGTCCCTAAAAAGGCGATGCCCGGAAGTTCCAACCTCTGTCCTTTCTCCTGAAGGGTTAAAGAAGCAGAAGCTAGAAGGTTCTCAAGATCCCCTTTGTAGCTTTTCTCTCTTCCCAGATAAAGCAGGTTGTAAGGCTCTTCCTCTCCCGGATGCGACCTTCGCTCCGCTGACGCCCTGGAGTTCTCTTTCTCACCGATCTCTGCAGGCCTCACGTGAAAGGAGGGGCATCTCCATGACGGTGGGTCCTGAAGCCGTCTGGGTCGGACCCGACCAGAGCCTTCCTTGGTGCCTGTCCCTTAGTGCATTCAGGCATGGCACCTGGACAGGGATGTCCCTTCGTTCTGAAAGACGCGCTTTCCCCTCACCCGAGCTGCCCCACCTTCAAACTCCTTCCCGTCACTGTCTCAAATAAAGTGAATTCTGCAGCAGTGGGCTTCCTGCCGTGTTTTCCCACCCCCGTGTTATGTCAGGGACGTCCACCTCTCTGACTCGGTCCCAGCTTCCTCGGATACCTCACCCAGCTCCTCAAACACGCTCTGGAACTTTCCTTGGCCCATCCAGACACCACGGGGGGCTGGCCTCTGTGGACTGCTGTGAGGGGTGGACACAGACCTCTGAGAGTCTGCCACCCCCCATGCCGGTCTCTGGGGGACCCAAGTGGGAGGTAGCCTTGCTTTCTCAAAACAACAAAGACATGGATGTTCTGCCTATAAAATTCCTGCTCACTGTTAAGAATCTAAAAACACATAAAAACAGGCGAAAAGTATACCAAAGCTCCCTCCCAGTCCAAGGAGTAGAGAAGGTGCCGGGAAGCCCTGTGCAAAGGCTGTGCCATTGTCACAGTTCGGTCTTTCCTGTGAGGACAGAGAAGAGGAGAGAAGCTGGTACTAGGAAGTGAGGTGAACTAGCTGCTCTTTTCCCTTTCAAAAATTACTTTGAACATGTTTCAAACATCTTTTGCACTTTAAATTCTTTGTCCTTTAAAATCTTATTTGGCGCTTGGAAAGTAGAGGGACCTTAAGTATCAGCGTCAGTGGGAGATGCCGTCCTGTTCCCAAACAGAAATGATCCCTGACCTAACCCTCCTACGGCAAGATGAAAGCTGGCAAAGCCGGGCTGACAAGGAAAGCGACTCCAGCTTCCAGAACGAACACGGGCACTGCCGAAACCTGGGGCCACCCATGTCGATGCGGGCCTCGGGGAAGACCTGGCGTCTGCGGAGACCTGGGGCCTCCCCCCCAGGAGTGGGCTGCTTCCAAAATTCAGAGGGGGTAGACACACACGGAAAACATTTTCCAAACACCTGGATGTTTTCTTGCATGCAGAGTCTAGCAAGGGGAAAAAGTCTGGCAGTCTGTGGCCATACCCACAGGATGTAGGCTTCCGTGGGACTCAGCGGGCACCAGCTCACCGTGGTGTGAGAAGTGTGTCTCGTCGTTGCCTCTCTTCTGGGTGTCTCATGTTCTTGAGCCGCCCCAGGGACCGTAGCTGTCCTCAGAAGGGGTCAAATCCGTTACTGTTTTCAGATCAGAAGCGTCAGGATCCAGGTGGGCGGTGGAGAAGGATGGGGCCACACAGTGTGCAGACTCGGCCTCCCCGGGAGCCCTGCACTTGCCCTGCGGAAGTGAATCCTCCAAAAGCCGCGTCCCCTGCCCCACGGAGAAGTCCTGAAGCAGTGAAGGAGGGGGGCTCGGCTTCCTGTGGAGGGCGCTCTGCCCAGCATCTGGGGGAGGCTCCATCCCATAATCGCTCTGAGAGATCCAGATTCCCTCCCCCTGATGCCCAGCAGGGGCTGACCCTGAACAGAAAACCGAGGTCGCTCCTGGGACCGCCTAAGGACCTGAGAAGCAAGAAACAAATTTCCTTGCACAGGGAGGTGAGTGCAGCTGGGGACAGGTGTGGGGGCTGCAGACCTGATCAGAACGTTGCCCATGATGATGACAACGACAAGGAGAATGTTGAAGTCTTCATAAAGGGAGCATCTGGAGGTAAAGATGCCCACTTCTTCCCTCCACACCAACCCCTATAACAGATCTTGGTCCCAAGGAGAGCCACGCACAGAACCTTCTGGAAGCAGGCAGACTGCCTGGGCTGTCTTGGGAGCTCCGGTCCGTTACAGAAGTTAGAACCTTCCCATTACTGTCACCGTGATCACCGTTACCTCACCGGCACTGTTACTGCTGCCACATTGTTTCTTCAGACCAGAGGTTCCCACAAACTATCATGCCAATTAGATAGACCTGAGCTAGCTGATTCCAAAACCAGTGTTTTCACATAAATCGACCCCATAAACCACCGAACAGGTGTCTACAATGACAAATGTTCCGCTGATCACAAAGCCTTCAAGGAGAGCCCCTGGGCAGGACGGGGTTCCTAAAGTCCAGAGAGCAGGACTCAGCCCCTCGCCAACAACCTGTTGTGAAACAGCCCGCAGTCTCCCTGTGGCTGTTAGTGCGTAGAGGCCACGGCTGCCCTGAGGACCGCGTGAATACTGGACGTTTCTGGGCTTCAGGAGAGTCTGTGCTTGTTCTGGAAGCTGGAGTCCCCAGATCTGAGAAAGGGGGCCCGAGTCCATCCCAGAGAACATCTGATGTTATCCTGTGGTCTCAGAAATCCTCCTTGACTTGTCTTCTGTTCTCAGAAGACAGAAGCGGGGACTAGGATGCAGGCACCTACAGTTTCCTGGGTGGTTTCCGAAGAGGGAATCAGTGAGGTAGGATAGGGCAGAAGAAAGAAGACAACACGAGATTTCTGCTAGAGATTAGCTTCGGAATCAATCCCACTATCCCATTCCATCTTGAAGGAGAGGGATGGCCTTTTGTAACTCAGGTCAGTCACCTATTGGCTATGAGATCACCCGCAGGCCCCAGGGACACAAAGTACCCTAGGAGGTGGCTCCGAGGGCTGAACGAAAATCTCCGGAGAAGGGACAGCTGTGAGCCACTAGCAGCCAGCCGTCAGCACAGGTGTGGGGCAGGGGCACACCATCCTGCCCTCGCAAACACGCCTGAGGCCCTAGACACTACCTGGTACCCTCCTGTTACCCTCCACAAACAGTTTAGTACTCAGGCGAGTCCCCTCGTTCCCCCTTTCTCATCCTCTATCGATAGGGAATGAATTCTCAAGGTGATGACCCCTGACCACCAGCAAGAGTCACCCGAGAACATATGAGAAGCACGGGTTTTAGGTCCCTCCCAGACCCGCTGAACTAGCAATGCTGGGGGCGAGAACAGCAATCTCTGTTCTAAAGAGCCTTCCGGGAGGTCCTAGGACATGCTAACGTCTGAAGACTAGTGCCCTGGGGAATGGAGATTCGCAGAAGATATTGTCTTGTCACTGTGACTGGGTGAATGAGGGGAGGTTTCTCCTGCGCTCTCTGCGGATACTGGCTTCTCCGCCCAGCCTCGGCCTCACTGAGCCCCCCACTCGGCCAGCAGGTGTTCCTAGGACCCAGGGCTGGCACGGACAATTTGGCCATCCACTTGGCTTTCAGTGGCCTCAGTCTCTGACCTTTGTGTTTTCCACCTGGGTCCAAATTCAAGGTGTTTTATTTGGCATACTTTCTCCTCAACCAGAATTTGGCCAGGCTCCTCTGATCCCCCTTCTCAACCGGGCCCAGACCTCGGCCAGCCTTTACCAAGAATCCTCCTGAGTCAGTGCACCCTTCTGCCCTTGGTATGTCATCTTCATGGTGTTCTGTCCACTCCTCTCTCTCTGCCTGTGGCTGTAAGTCCCCACGTGTCCCTGCTGTATTCAGAGATGAGATCAGTCTTGTTCCCCCACTGCCATTCCTGGTCTCTGTTGCAATAACCTTAAATAAAGTCTTCTTTACTGTTTTAACAAGTCAAAACAATTTCCCTTTAGCATGTCTTCCCAAAGACTCCGACGTGCAATGTGATTTGGAGGCAAAGGGAAGTTTGACTTTCTCTTCTCCCACCCCTCCCGCCCACTCATCCATCTGACTACAGAGCTTTTTCTCGCCCTTTCAAGTGTCAGGTCAGAAACGTTATTTTCTTTGGATCTGGGACATTCCTGATAGAGATTCTGCCCCCCTTAGATAGTAAGCCAGTAGATAGTAAGCTGGTGGATAGTAAGCCAGTAGATAGTAAGCTGGTAGATAGTAAGCTTTATGAGACAAAGGGAATAATTCATAAGACGTGCAAAGTACAGATGATTAATAAGCAAATTGGTGGTGAGATGGGCAGAATACACAAATTGTGTTAACTAGAGATGCTAAGGACATTAGTACCTTGGAAAATACATTAAAGACAGATGGAATCAAGCATTATATGCTTGAGCAAGCGCGAGTGTTACTTAGAAAGGTGCATGGTAATCCAAACTCAGTGACATTCAGCAGGGCAATTTTTCTGTTCCCTTATTAGGGAAAACTAAGTTTCAAACTGTGACTTCCCACCAAAGAGGGGAAATCATTTATGACTTTAATAGTCTACTTAAAATTCTAATATAAAATTAAATAAAATACATTTTAATCAGTCACTATGTTCTAAGGGTTCCGAGGGTCTCTGGGCTTCAACATCCAGTCCTAATTTGCAGTTCTGCAGAATCCATGCCCTCTGTCTGCCACCACGTCCTCCTGAACTCAGCCGCTTTATGCCGGTACAGTTTGGCAAACCATATCTCCAAACCCTAGGAAAAATGTGAACTAACTTTAAACTCTCTATTTCTACTTGTCCTCTCTCAGTGTAAGAGAGAATGGGT